AAGATGCTTCGAAAGCAATATTCAATACCAATAAAAAGGAGTTTTTTGGTATTTGCAGAATTGAGTTTGTTTTTTTTTTTTTTTTTTTTTTTTTTGATAATGTAAAATATATTTTGACTTGGATATTTAATTATCTAATATTTTCTTATTTATTTTATTAATTTTATTTTATTATCTAATTTATTCTTGAATTATGCTCTATATAATTACACATCGACAGAGACATTTCGAGTGTTCGGTGACAACGCGACTCCAAAGTATAAAGTTACCGTTCGAGAAACACTCGTTGCATACGTTTTAAAGACGAGACGATTCGATATGTAAGTCGCGCCGGTTATTATTCGGCGACGAGTCGGGGTTTCCGGTCTCTATCGTCCCAGCACGATAGGCGATTAATATACATTTGAAGCCGTCGGTGGCGAATTTGAATAATCTCCTGGTATTCCGCAGCAGGCACTCGAAAAGCCGCGGGGCTCCTCCAGCTCGTCGGGGTCTGGCAACGTTACGTTCGAGTGTTTGACGAACGAACGGCGTTACGAAGTCGCCGACTTTTTTGTTTCCTCTTTCTGGCATCGGCATCAGCGTCGAGCTATGTCGAGTGGTAGCCCGCTCTCACGGACCAGCCGCTGTCTCGTACAGTTTCAACCCGTCCCCAACCCGTCCCGACCTCGTCTCATCCCATTCGATGCGTCTCCTTCATGTAGGTTAATATACGTAACTGTGTGAAAAAGAGAGAGAGAGATAGATCGATCTTTTGAAGCTCGCGTTCTCAAAACATCTATGTAAAATAAATATCCGGAAGTGTTAAATCGAAATTGCACTAGAGAAACCGCGCAACTAATATATTTTATTCAAATTTTTCAGCTTTATCTTTATTTTTATAATTCTATTTTTGATTATCTATTTGTAAAATACATGCATAACACCAGAGGTGGCACATCTCGAGAGAAAAATACGAATTATGTCTAAACCGCATCCGTATTATGGGACCGCAGAAATTACACGTGTCTTAATTACCTGCCGAGAGATACCGTCATTTTACAGTTTCTTTTTCCGCGAGTCGATCATTGGTTTTAGATTCACGAGCACCGATGCGTGACGTGTTCTTATTAGTAAGCGATTTGTAAGCATTTTTGCAGTTATATGAAACGAGACTTGTCAATGTACATTATATCGATCGCCGAAGAGAACTCGGTAATTTGAAGCAATTGAAGCAATTTGTCGAGCGTTGTTTCTACAAATTGACGATTTAATAAATATGTCTTTTGCCACCGTTCTCGCAAGTCTCCCTATTTCAGTTTGCTTACTAGAAGAGACAACGGAATAATCTTTTAATTTCCGGGAATATATCACAGCTTTCACTCTCATACCTTTAATAACTTTAGACCTAAAATCTTAAGTATATATATATTTATTTAGGTCAAGATTCCCGGGAATTTTTAAAAATTTGTCGAGATCGTAGACGTTTCTTTCATTGTACGTGAAGGTGACAGACAATGCAAACGCTACAACAAAATCAGAAGAACAACAGATCTTTTTTAAGGGTTGCAATTTTCATTTTATCTCATTTATAACGAATTTGTCTCGGTCATTGGACCAAGAAGGGGTGGCAGCCCGCAAAACTCGATTCTCAGACGCGGAGAGATCGTTGGATCCCCGGACGAGGACATGCGTGCGAACGGGAGATAAAGATAAAGATTTTCGTTCCACGGTCGATCTCTCGCGAGAGCACATGCGATTCGACGATGCGCGTGTGCAACGTGTGCACGTACACGAGAGGGTGATAATGTATTCAAGGTCCGCCCCGTGATCCACGTGGTGGGGGTGAAACGGGGCGGCCCGCGCGCTATAGGTACTCTGTAACAGATGTTAATTATCCCTTCTGTATAGAGCCGGCGAAAAAAGGAGTTCGCGCGCGCTCCTTCCTCGCGGCCGCTCGCTCGGACATATCGCGTCCCGATCGTGCGTACCCCCGTGTATCCCCCTATCCCCCCGCTCGTCGTCGCCGGGGATATATTCTCGCGGCTACGCCTAGCGCGCCCGCGCCAATCGGAGGGCGCGCTCGACTTCGACCGACCCTACTGGCGATTATTCGCACAGATCTTTGCGCTTAAATCTGTAGATCTGAGGCAGAAATAACAATGAACGAGAGTACGCTCAGATAGAATTTTATTGGTCGCTGTTCATCCTTCCCTCTCTCCCCGCAAGAATCTTTATCAGAGTAAATCTCCAGAGATAATTAGTGCAGGGTAAAAAGGGAAAAAATAGAGTAAAGCAAAAAATAATTACACGTTCTTTTTCCCAAACTGTGCAAAGATTCTGTAAAGTAAAGAAAATTATACGTGTTTGCATTACGAAGAAAATTGTTAAGGGCTCTACTCTAGCAGTATGAAAAATTGATAATTTTTAGAAATTTTTTCCAAGAATATTAGTAATTGATTATTTACACAGATGTTTTTGCTTAAATCTGTAGATCTGAAGGAGAAATAGCGATGAATGAGAGTACGTTCAAATGGAATTTTATTGCGCGCTGTTCATCTTCTCCTACCCTCCGCAAGAATCTTTCTCGCCCTCCGCGTTGTACCAGAGTAAATTCAGAGATAATGATTTGCAGGGTAAAGCGAGAATATATAGAGTAAAGCAAAAAATAATTACTCTTACTTTTTCTCGAATTTTGCAAAAATTCTGTAGTTTTTTTTTTTTTTTTTTTTAAAGTATATTAGAAATTGATCTTTCTTGGCGTTTTACATATTGATGTTTTTATTGATGTTTAAGCAGTATCTATTTTTAAATTTTGGATTATTCTTTTCTTTTTTTTTTGGTCAATACGAGCCTCTGCGCATGTTTGATAATGCAGAGTTTGACATGTTGCTCCACATGTAATTATCTGAAATGAATAAACTCGATCTAGTTTTATTCTGTAGAATATTTGTGGGATACTAAATCTAATTTTATTAAAGAAAATTAAAAAATAACAAAGCAGTGTCATTATAAAATTAGATATTATAGATTTTTACACAATTTTGTTGAAATTTATTCATTTCTTGAAGATCAGAAAAATATTAATTATTAATTTTTAAAATTCTATTTAAGTTTTTAGTATCCCCCAAAAAATCTTCCCCAAAAAAATCAAGTTATTAGATCCATTAGTTTTCAAGATATCCGTCACAGCAACTTTGAAAACAATGTTTTAAGAAGAACGCGTTTAAAGTTTTGCAGGCCCATGTCAAGATCCACACGCTATCATATTAAAAGTATTATAACTTCGTTAATTTTGCAAATTTTTCAATAAATTTTGAAAGACTTCAGACATCATACTTTCAGAAAATGTAAAACAAATCGATTTTTTGATTCTCTAAAATATACTAGACTCTTAAGATTCAAGGCTGAAAACTCAGTTTTGCCAAGGAATATATATATATATGTCGAGACAACTTCTTTATTGACAGTGTCGACCGACACGGAAACCGCGAGGGTAGCGGGTTGATCTTTCGAGGACCGGTTGGTCTGAATGGCGTGGTCTGTCAGTGCGCAACGCAATTTGCGCTTGATCGAGGAGGCAGTAGAAAGCCCTCGTACATCAACCGCGATCGATGCGACAGGTTGGAATTATCGGCGCGTGTCGCCGATTCGAGGATCCCGGGAGATGACTCCTTGATTTTACTGTTAATTATTTACGATTCGGCTCTCATTAACCCGTCGTGATCGGTAATTATCATCAGATAATTATCTCGGTACTATATGACGTGCCTCGTCACGTGACCGGCGGAATATTATTACGCGCACTTTGATGATTTCGGTTCAAGCGAGAAATCTCCTCATCGAGGAGGAGAGAAGAGAAACGTCATTCCTCTCGCGTAAAGTGACAACAATGAAGCGCGACATTAATAAGAGACGATCCCCGCATCGGCTGCTCGTCGCGACGCATTCCTGAAGGATACGATCCGGGGTCAAATCCCCCGCGCACGCCGAGAAAGGCAAACGGTCATATACGTAGCCGACGTAGTAGGCGATCGTTGCGAGGAAACGGCAATGATGATGACGATGACGACGAACGAGCGGGCGGACGCGGCAGAAGCCGGTAAGAAGTCATTTTCCAACGGATTGAAATTCCATTCCGCCGTTTCTCATTGCGGGAGAACCGAACCCGAGAGAGAGAGAGAGAAGGAGAGAGAGCCATGAAATGACAGTTAGTGCGCGGGTATAACCCCGTCGAGATAAACCCTTTCGATTGGCCGGACGTTAATGCTTATCACGCCGCGCGTCCTTTTATTGTTCCTTTCTCATTTCGGATTTTTTCTCCCCCTTCCCCTCTCTTTGTCGGCGACCCCCTTGTTCACTCCTTTCTTTTCTCCTTTCGTATCTTCTCTTGTGTCGCGCGCGCCCGCTCTCTTTCTCCTTCTTGCTGCCGTTGCTGCTGCCGCCGCGACGGCGTGTAATGGGCTTAAAGGTCTGCATTCCAATAACCGAGAAACGAATTGTCGTGCGCTCGCGCGTTATCGCGCCAGGCTGGTCGGACTAGCCAGCACCAGGGCGCTCGTATATCACCGTAGCTTTTGTTACGGCGACGTGCCTTTGTTTTCGCCTCGTTTTCGCGATTCTCTTACACATCGGCTGGCCTCCCTCCTCCTCGCGAGCCTTAGCACAGACCTTAGCAAACATCGTCGGCGGGCGTGTATGTTGTCGGGGGAACAACGACAAGTCGCGGACTTTATTCGAATAGAATAGGCCGATCATATTGCGAATCGGATATCCCGAGTGAACGAATCGAGATTGACTCTTACGGCGATTGTGACTCCTTTTTCCATTTCGCGCTGCGATATTACTGATTGAATTCCCGGTGACCCGTGCATCGGAAGAAAGACACAGTGTGCCACTCCTTGGAAGTATGTAATTCTCTCGCGTGTCAGCGGAACACGTGGGAAGCGAATTGGCAGATCGATTGGTCGTTCAATTCGACTCGAGTTTGAACCCTGACTAACACGCGCGTTTTGTTTCAGGATGCGGTGAACAGCCGGCTGGTTCGCGAGGTTCGAGATGTCCGCCGTAACCAGCCCGTATGGCCCCGGTAAGACACTCTTT